GCGGTGGGGGGGGGGGGGTCACTGAATAAGCAAGTGTACCTCACTACAATGGTGGCAATGTAGCTTTTTAATTAAACTCATTTCTTTCCTTCGCTCACCTTGCTAGTGTCCTGACAGTCAGGGTCAAAGGGCACCTGCTTGGCAGCCAGCTCGCGGCCCGTGTCAGCGTCATAGCACAGGTAGACTTCACCAAATGCACCACGCCCCAGCAGCTTACCCTGCCTCCAGTTGACCGGCGCCCGTGGGGCTGCGGTGACAATGACAACACATTAGTCATGAATATGAGGGGACCCCTCCAAAAGTGAGCTGCCCGCTAACAGATCACTGCAGGAGTGAAAAATAGTGGTCTACCAGCTAGTGGCTCCAGTAGCAAGTCGCTGACTAGCTAGAAGCTCAGGCAGCCAGTTGTTAAAGTACATAGTCACTCCAGAAGAAAACCACTCACTAGCAAGTCGCTCTAGTCTCTAGTCTCTTTCTAGCTAGTTACTCTATTGGCTAGCCACTGGTGTGACCTCTCAAACACTCTGCGACTAGCTAGTTAGCCACTCCAGTAGCTAGCCGCTAGTCACTGCAGTAGCTAGCTACAGTATTCTAAGATTACCCTTTTCTGTTAGAAAACAAAAGCTACACATTATTACTAAATGAATACTTATTTATGACAAGAACAAACTCACACTTGGCCGTGGTGCGCTGGCAGCTTTTGTCCACATTGCGTCCGAGCGTTCTCAACTCGCCATACTGTAGGCCGCCACCACCGTCACCATTGTAGCTGCGTGTGCGGCTGGAGGGAACCAGCTGGAACAGGTTTTCCTGCGGCATGAAGCTGCGCGGAAGTGTCCTGCGACCTGTGAGAAAAGAAGTATTGGACATATTAATGATGGGGATACCGTCATGCACGTTTGCTTTACAGGTGCCTCTCTGTTTCCCTGGTCTCACGGCTTCCTGTCTAAAGGGAAGCCAGGGTGGCTGTGTTTTTCAAACATGCTCAGATTCAACAGAGGAAAATCGAAATCATTGCTTGACTGAAAGGACGCTTTTACGCTGCTTTTTAATCGCAGGATCGATACGCGAACCACTCCAAGGAGTTCTCCACAGTATCAATCTGGGACTGCTCCAATGTGATCTGCTCAGGAAAGTTGGGCATTCAGTCTAATATTTTGTGCTGATTGGGTGATGCGGCATTCTTGTGCATGCCTACAAATCTTTTGTTTTGACCAATCACGGCAATGGATTAAAATGTCGTCACCGGCAATCGCCTTGTTCTGACCTGTTATCTGGATGACTGGCACAGATGGAATGATGGCGTTGAGGTGTCGTTTTTGCAATGTAAATATGTGGACAAAGCGCATCCGAAATAACATGACAGTGATTTTTCAACCAAGCCGATTGTCAACAGAGAAAAAGTTTCGGCAGAGCCACACATGCCGCCCCAAAATCACTGTTGTTTTGTGATTGGTCTGCACCACCAGTGGTGGTTTCTCGGAGCAAATCAGCGGTCTTGGGACAAGATGGATTCTCGGGGTTTGTAAACTCACACATACAGTGAAAATTTAACTTGCAGGCAAGGTTAGCTGTGATATACTACTACCAACTCTGTGCGCTTTCACACTGGTTACACTGGTCCCAATTAGACTACCGCCAAAAGTGACTCTTTCTATGAGTGAGTGGCTGTTAGGTGTTTGTTGCTATACTTACGATCACCATAGTCTTTGCTCCGATTGGGCAACTGAAACTGCCGAGGAAAAGTCCCACCTTTGCCATGGCGACCTATAGGAGGAGACAAAGGAAGACATGTTTTTTTTTTTTTTAAATAGCGAACACAAGAACTTGTACAGGAATGGTCGTGGATGTGTTGATAGCGACTAGGTAATGGAGTGACAAGGTCGCAATGGAACGAGTAGGTAGCTTGAGCTGGCAACTGAAGCGAATACCTACTGGAGCAACAAATTAGTTGGCAGCGAGCTACTGGAAGGACAATCGACCTTCTGATTAGGAAGCTAGTAGCTATCTAAAAGAGAAACCAACTAGCTGCGCCTAGCTACTGGAGCAACAATCATCTGGAGTGACGAGCAGTTTACTCATTGAGCGAGTAGGTAGCTAGCAGGTAGTCACTTGAGACACTTGGTATTTAAGCAACAAGCAATTACAATGGCTAAGTACAGAAGTGATTTACCAGATACCAGCTAGCTACTGGAGCAACAATCTACTGAAGCATGTAGGTTGCTCCAATCTAGCTTAACTAAGTAGCCATTAGATATCTAGCTGTTTCAGCAGCTCATAACTTGAGTAGCGAATGACTAGATAGCTAGTTGATCCATTTGATAGGAATTAGCTACCTTGTAGTTCTACAAGGTAGCCGTTAGATCCCCAAGTCGCTGTTGTAGATTGTCATTCCAGTAGCTAATTGGTTCGTTGCTCCAGTGGCAAGGTGCTAGCTGCTTAATTACTTCAGTAGTCTCTTTGCTAGTCTCTTCAGACCATGTATACTAAGGCGTAGTCTCTTCAGGAGATTGTCACTTCCTAGCTAGTTGCCAAGTTTGCAACATGTCATATCAGTGGGTAGCTAGTCAGGAACCAGAATGGTGGAGTTCTCACAGAGGAAAGTGAGGTCATGTGTTGCTAGCTTAGCCTTTAGCACCCAGCCCAGAGGAACTGTAACCTTAAGCAGGTGGAGGATGAGTACTGACGTAAACACGCGAAACAGAAAAGTGGCTAGAGCCACTGGCAATTGAAAGCAGCTGTCAGATGACGCGGCCTGTCCCCTCCATTCTCCTCTTCTCCCACTCCATGTTTGTGGCCGTCTCCCGTGGCAACGGGGAGTTATTTTTTTGTTTGGCGGAGCAATGGAGAGGAAAAATTGACTCACGGGGAATGATAGACAAACACTGGAGTGTTCAGCAGGCATAGATTTACATTAGGCAAGTGTGTGTGTGTGTGTGTGTGTGTGTGTGTGTGTGTGTGTGTGTGTGTGTGTGTGTGCGTGTGCGTGTGTGTGTGTGTGTGTGTACGAACACTCACACTCACACACGCACACACACACATTCTATCGTTAGGCTTTTCGGAATTCTTATTACAAGCAACCTGCACATGCCTGTGGATTGCCCTTTAATGTATTGTGAAACATTTCGGTAAAACCACTTTTTTATACAGTTGCGCGTCTTGTGTGAAAACAATGCCCGAGGCAAGTAATGCGACTTTTTTTTTCTTTTCCATTATTTTGCTATTTGAAAAATAGTGAGGTATTATCTGCTAAGAAAAAAAAACAACCGCAATGAGACGTCCATGTCTTTTTTTCAGTGGCGTTGAACTGAAATGCATCATACTACAGTACCAACGTTTTTAAATGTTTCTTAGGTAAATAAGGTAGAATATGTTTGAAACGCTCTAGGATGATGCAGTGTGATTCCACACCGCTGCAATACAGCCATAAAATATGATGTGGGTTTTTTTCTAACGCCATTTTTGCAAGTTAGACCTCGCACGCTTGTATTTTAATGTTTTTGGGTTTTTTGTTCAGTTTTTTATTTCTTATTTAAGTGAATAAAACTGACACGTTGGAATTAATTGTTTCTGGCTGTACCATGCAGCGTGAAAGTCGAGCTTGCGGTACGTGGGCCCGCATCTAGCTCTCAACGACCACGGGCTCGATCCAGCAGTCGGCCATGCAGCCCACCGAGGCACACATCCACACGTGTACTACTGCTCTGGACTCGCGTGCGTCGGCTTCACGGAAGAGACGTGCGCCTTTAAAAGGACGAGCGCTGCTATTGGGTGGAAGGGCGGGCCCGAGCGCTGCGCGTGGGCGCGGTAGCGTGTGCGTGTGCGCGCTTCTGCCTGCACCCGCTCCTAGTGGTACACAAGCGACAAGCCCCCCTTGTGCGGACACCGTGTACCGTGGTCGAAGCACCTGCGACAGGGACGTGAGAGTCAGCCCGAAACCGTCTGGTGGTCCCACCCTGCCAATCTGCACGAGCGCCAATATCTATCTGCAAGCAGGATTTAAAAAAATATATATTTCAAACTACTACAGCTCCCTGGGGACCTAAAACTGGATTTACCATTCTGATGTTCTTGCTGGTCTGATTGACGGAGGTCAGAAACACCACCTTTTTGCTGTTTGATCTAATTTAAACCTCTCAGATGGAACTTCGTTTGGAAGAAATGTCTTTTTTTAAGAGGAAATAAAATGCCTTACGATCAGGTATCGCACCACTGTACACGTATAAAAAATGTATTCGGAAATGCAAACATGCGCCTCATTCGTTCATTGGCGTTTTAAGGTGATTTCAAAGAGGAAAATGTTTCACGTTGGCCTCAATGTTACCACAGTGGAAACGAGGCAGTGTGGCGAGAGCGGATGGAATTACACGCGCCTCTTCGAGGCGATGCCTTCGAATTGTATAATCATTTCTCGACGATTTTTTTTAGTGTTTGATCACGAGCTTTGCGTCAAAGTGACAGCAGCCATCCAGCCGGAGACATGATTTTTTTTTTTTACTTAAATGTTTTCCCTTTGTCTTTCTTTTTTTTTTAAGATTAATTATAAATGACCCCAACGTCGGTGTCCAATGTCCTCACATTGTTCTCGTCGTCAGGTTCCCTTTTGGATGTAAAACAAACACGCCAGGCACAACCCTTTGCGCAGGTCAAACACGCCTTCTTCTCTCTCTCTCCATCTCTATCTCTCTCTCTCTTGTGTGTGTGTGCGTGTGCGTGTGTGTGTGTGTGTGTGTACGAACACGTGCCACAGTCAGCCTCCAAGCAGAAAGCAATACTGCACCTCCTTGGTTTAAAGGAGAAAAGTAGGTGTAACACTTCTTTTTATATTCCTGTTGTCCAAAGTAATGTTGTACAAGACGACCAGAAACTTGAGCAATTAGGGCACCACCACCTTCAAATATTTATATGAACATACTAATACTCTAGTTTAATACAAATGTACTGCAAACTAGGGACACTCTAAACTTTCCCTCGGAGTGATTGTGAGTAAGAATGGTTGTTCATATATGTGTGCCCTGTAATTAGCTGGCAACCAGTTGAGGGTGTAGTAGTGTCGGGTAGTAGGCGGTACCCGAAAACGGCTGGGATAGGCTCCAGCATGCCTGCCACCCTCGTGAGGAGAAGCGAGTAAGATAATGGATGGATGGATGGATGTATCACAAGCTATGATCAGAACAACAACACAGTTAAATATAAATTTAAAATTCTTCTTAATACATTACCCTTATAAAAATCTCTTACAGATTAACTGTGTTCAGAAAAATAATTTTCAAATCATTAATTCTCATTATTGCACACATTTCCCATTGGTGCTTGAAATGTTGAGTTTTTTCTTCTTATCCAAAACCAAACAGTGGAAACGTGTTTCCTTTTATTTGATTTGTAAATATTACTTTATTTATTTATTCCTTTTAATTCATGTAAATTCCCATCTTGTCACCTTTCAATGAAACCTACATTAAAAAAAAAAAAACACCCAGAAAATACAAATATTTGAGCTTGCATGCAACATTTGCAATTTCTTAGCATGAAATCATATAAACACTATTCCTGTTTACACATAGAGAAAGATTCCACAGAATATGACTCTCCCTTTTTGTGTTTGTGCCCCGTGGGTGTGAGCAGAGGACGGCATTTGAGCGCAAACTCACCTTTGTATTCGTAGCTGAGGTTCAGGTAATTATTGTCACGGTTGTTCTGCGAGAAAGGCGGGCTGCGACGATAAGAAAAGATGGAAAAAGAAAAAAATGATTTGCTATTCCGCTCGTATTTTCCCCTCCCGTTGCCCTTATCTTCAAATGAGCGCACGAGTTGGGTGGTGTTCCTCAAAAAAAAACAACTTTTGTGTTGTGGCTACAAAACTGATGTTGAACAACAGCGTACTTAATTAGATGTGATAAGCAGGAGGCGTGAGCTCGTGTTGCATGTGGTTACCACTGATTAAAATATACGGGAAAATATATATGAGAAAAAAAAACTGAGGTTACACCAATTCAAGCACTCCTTTTTCCATCATTTTTTTGTCTGTCAATATATTGAAGGCTTTCCTCAAACTCTCCAGAAGGTTGAGTTTGACTTTTGAGAGTGTGTGCAGGGTAGGAAGGGTGCACCAGCTCTTCACGAGATCTTCAAGGGGGTGTGTAGCTGAATCAGTTAGTCAAAGACTATCCTGAGGGTTTGTTTTGACTTGAGAAGGAGAGCAGATGCGGGGAATTGGTGGTGCGCCAACCCTGTGTAATACTTCACCACTAAATCTGTCTGATCCCACCTTCACCCCTCCCCCGGCTGACCCATCAGAGAAGCGTGACGTCTCTGCTGACCGCGGGGCGTCGCGGGGACCGCGAGACCCTGGATAAGGGGGCACGCATGCCCGCTCACAGAGAAAAGTTCCAACGCGCCGGTTTCCTGCCATTGTTCGCGCGGCCTGCAGTACAGATAAGCCTCGTGCAGGTAGGAGCCGTTTCCGCCCGCCGCTTGCTCGCTCTCCAAGCCTCCTTTTTCTCTTTTCCCTTTTCCCTTTTCACTCCCCTCGTTAGCGCCCCACTTTTATGTCCTCTCTTTCCTCTAATGATGATGGCGGTGGAATCCGGGTGCCCAGATAATAAAAAAAAAAGTGTCGCCATGGCAACAGCTGAAATGACCCGACTCCAACCGCTCCGTGTTGACCTTTCAACACGCCTTATGAGCAGAGAGCATAGGAAAGGCGATCCCTCACCTGTCAAGCGCTTGGTCGATGGATTGACAGCTGCTCGACAGCGAGTTGCCAGCACTCCCGAAGGGATCCAACATCTGAAATGTGACAACAAGAACTGAGTGCAAGTCATTTATGCTCAAGCTCAAGACTGCTGTGTCGGCTGTGGTAGAGTCCTGATTCTGAGGGGGTCTATGAGTTAAGATGTTTCGCTTCTTTTACGGGGGTGTGCGGGAGACAGGGGATGGGCCAACTCCATCAGCGCACTGAAGGGGGTGTGCGGTTTAAAAAATGTCTGCTGTTTAAAAAAAACATGTTTTTCCCTTTTTTATTTTTGACGTGTGCTTTCCATTTGTTGTGTACTTTAAAAAAAAAAAAAAAACACTTTAATGTGAGGATTTTTGGAATGAACTCCCCCTCGCTGTGGATGCTGGTGTAGGAACCCTGGCGAGCAATTTGCTGCTGCTCTTCAGGGACGCTACCTGGGGGAGGTGACGTCCGACCTGTGTGGAGGGAACCTGAGAGGAGGAAGTTCGAAAGTTACGTGACGGCAAAATAAATCTGTTGCTATGTTGAGGGGGTGCACCAACTTTGACGCATACAGTAAAATAGGATTCATTTACACCTGCAAAACAAAGGGGAGTCATTAATGCTAACTGAGCATTTTTGAGGGGGTGCACCAACATGAATGCATACCATTTGATCAAGTTACGCCTGGGGAAAAAGGGAGTCATGAATGATGACCGAGTGAATGGAATGAACAGAATGGATTTTTTTAAAGGGGTGGATTGCGCCAATTGTGTCGGGATTTAAGTTGCCAATCGTCATAAACATGATCAGATTCCTGTCACTGTCAAGTGGAGTTACTAAGTTTTTCACAACTGAGGTGATCAACACATTCAAATGGATGCAGCACACCAACGACACATGAACCATAGTCACCTGTGGAGTGTTTGCGCACCCTTTCCGAGCCCTTCAGCAATGAGCCTTTCAGATCCCCAAGCGACCGCGATGACCTCATCTCGCTCTGCTTGTCTCTGCTGTTCACCTGAAGGTACTGCAGGGCGACGGGTAAATGAGGGGGGCGAGGGGGTTAGTGTGCATAAGTAGTGGGAGAGGAAGTGAAGAAATGTCGCCCGCACCTCTGAGTGAGTCACTTCAGCTAACAGTGGCAGTCATGTTGACTCTAAATGCATATCAGCTTTTAAAGGAGGGCGACTTCCTATTTGTGTTGCAATATACAAAAAAACGTCATGTAATTTCAGGCTGAGGGTTCGGTGGGAGGGCTCTCACATGGTTGTTCTTGGGGGTCTTCAGCAATATCCTGAGCAGACCATTGGTCACCGTGCTGGAGACGAGAGAAAACACAGCCTGGTCCAGGTCTTCCTGGCTCTTGAGGGGCAACAGCATCTTGAAAAAAATAAAAGGACAAGAAAACAACATGCAGTGTAACCATTTCTGGGTGTCCCAATTGCTCCAGTATGTGAAAGCATCAGTGGGAGACAGCTAGAACGCACAACACGTCAAAAAAGTAATGATTGACTTATGACCCACAACAGGAGGGAATAAAATCCAAGTAGCGACCAATTAACATAAACAGGTAAAAAAAAAATATATAGATTTTTTTTTAAGTCTGCAAAAAGTCCGCAAATGGTGAGAAGCTGCAAAACAACAGCGAGTCACATAGAGCAACATA